GGCCCGCACCCGTGGGCTAAGCCAAGGCAAGCGCCGAGGGGCTGGGGGAAGGCCCAGCAAGAGCCATGTCGCGGCAGGAGCAGCCTGCCCAGAGCCCCGGGGGACAGGAGGCATCCCCTCCCCCTCCCAGGCTGCTGCCCCCACAGCCCCGCGCAGGCCTGGGCAGACGCGGGCGCGCGGCGAAGGCAGACAGGCCTGCAGACGCAGTCATAGGGACAGTCCTTTATTTAAAACGGCCGAGGGGATTAAGAGAGTCCCTTGGCAACCCAGCACAGGAAAGCAGCCTCGGCCACACACACACAGCACCGCAGGAAAAGAAAAGGCTCATTTACAGAAGGCAGGATCCCACCCCCAGTGCAAGGCCAGGCCGGCCCCTTCCCAGAGCCCTAGGAGCAGGCAGGGTTGGCGGTTTCCACAGGCCGATTGCTCTCTCTGCCACCTTCCAAGCCCCCAGCTGGGTGGACGCAGGATGCTCACAGCGGCCCTGGCCGGGCTCCTGTGGTTTAGCCCGTGGGTCTGACCGAGGCACCTGCTCACGAGCAAGTCAGGGACTCCACTAGGGTTAGAAGCAAAGCCCCCGGCCTCGTCGGCAGCCCCAGGAAAGGAGCCCTGCATCGCCCCAGCACTGGGGCAGGGGGCACAGCAGGCCTCACCCAGCCCAGCTGCTCGGGAATCGCAAAGGGAGGTGAACATGCATCTTCCAAGGCCACAAGGTGCAGAGACCAGAGACGCCCAACAGTCTCCACATGCGGGTGCTGCAGAACCCAGCCGGCCGCGCTGCTCGGCAGGCCCGATGGGCTCAGCCCTGCCCCGGCACCCAGCGCAGCGGGATGGGTTCAAACGCCCCGAGTGGGAGGCGGGCTCGGTTCCCTTGCCCTCCAGCAGCGAGCGGGAGATGTGCGGCGTATGCCCCCCAGCTCGCCGCGCGGGGCTGAGGGAAGGGGGGGTGCATGCACGTGTGCGCACACAGGGACGGGGGGGCCCTTCCTTCGCAGCCTGGCTCCCAAACCTGCAGCATGGACCGGGGTAAAGGAAGTGAAGAGCCCACCCTCCTCAGTGGGGCTGGGGCTCCGTGTCAGCGTCAGCCCCGAGGGCAGGGGGGCCCCCAGAGGTAAAGGCATCAGAGGTATGCAGAAGGGAGATGCCACAGCTGCAGGACGGCGCCGGCACCCCCACAGGTCACGGAGGGCCTGGACACGTGTCTGCTGTGGCGTCACTGCGGGGAGACGGGCCAGTCCCCGCGGGCAGGGCTGCGGGTGGGAGCAGTGCGGGACACACAGGGAACTCCCCTCGGGGGCCGGGTCTGTGCTCACAGCAGGGGGTGGAGGCAAACTTATCAAAGGTCACTTAACGGTGAGAAAATCCAGGGCGGGCAGCGGGAGAAGCAGCACGAGGGCTGAGAGTTGGCCAAGCGAGACCCCGGGATCCCCATCGTCTCTACCCTGCGCTGCCGACGCCCAGGTGCCCACAGGGCAGGCTCCCTTCCCCCATGGGAAGGGGGCTTGGCTGGAAGGGGGGGGCTACGACAGCCAGCGCCCAGGATGTGGGGAGCCAGATGCCGGCCACGGTTGCGTGATAC